TCGCGATTTTACCCTGATCGATACGCGATTTTGTCCTGACCACGCCTGACAACGAAACGATCGTTTCAAGGTGCACAGCCGACCACGAACTGTGTTATCCGAGACTCGACGAGGACGAGCGAACTTTCGAAGAAATTTTCATCGCGTCTTTCGTACAGTACAGCGAACGAAAGCTGGATTTTTTAAGGAGCGAAGCGGAAAGTGATACTACTCTTGTAACAAAATCAATTATTCGTTAAATCCGTTCGCGAATCCGGTTAAAGTTGCTAACCGAACGACAGAAATATCGCGGTTTTCTTTAAGCGAAACAACGTATGCTGTCACACTGTTTTATGCATAAGTGGACTTTATACGGAAATGCTGCAACGATTCGCGTGTTCTCAGCAGTGACTATTCCCCGGAGTCAGAACACTTATGACTCCCGAGGCTTTCGCCTATGTCGTCTATGTAATCAACGCTAGAGCCTACAAACTACAGCATCCAGGTTGCAGCTCCCGTGGGACGACGGGATTGACGAACAGGATAAATTACACGGTGGCCTATTAACTCGTTATCTAGGAAAGACGAGTGAACTCGTTATCCGGCTTACCAATATCCTGAGGTTAGAACTCGACGACTTAAAGCGAAACTTAAACGATGTAAGTGCTAGGAGCGAAGATTTTCCGATAGAAACGAGGAATGAATAATTTTCTGAGAGTTTGTTGTAAAAAGCTGTATTAGATTAGTTAAATCTATCGATCGATGTAACGTGTTTTCAGCTTGCTCAACGACAGTTGAACGATAGCAGCAGCTGCCACCGACAATCGTAGTTCTATCTTGCAACAGTCTTACACGCTTGTATAATGTAACCAATCGTAGAAAATTATATTTAGCATAGAATTTATATGCTTCTCGACAAAAGTATCGTTGTATTTTCTTTATAGTTACTTTCTCGTTGAAACAATTATTTTTCTATTCTTTTAACACCCGTATCGTTTAGCATTACAACTTCTCGGTCGTCTTTATCGGATATAGCTGGTTGTCGCGTATTATTTTATTCAAAGAGCTGCAACTTATCTTTCTCTTAATCGGCACGATAACTATTCTCGAGGCAACGTCTAACGTGCCAAAGTGCAACATTTTTCTTCGTACGTATTAGCTTGACCAAATTAGCGCGAAACAAGGAGAACATTTGGCTTTCGCAAAATTCGAACGAACAAAATACAGTTTGAATCGTACATTTTGAAACCAATTGGATTTAGCGTTTCGCAATATTTCAACAAACGTTTCCGTGTTTTCTTAATACTTTGAAACATGATTTAACAGCTAACAAAAGATCGGTAAAATACTACTGTGCGAGTCGTAGCGCGCGTTTTATAATACATACGCATAAACGAAAGTTTGCAATTTACGTTATGACGTGTATCAGGGAAGCAAAGAAAAATAAAATTTCCCCATTCGAAGGTAAGCCGAACCTTAGATCGTCTTTTCGGTATTGGCATATCGGAAACATTGGCAAGCGGTTATCGATGAAAAATGTATGGCAACGCGCGAAACATAATGGTGGAGAAAGACTATTCGATCGCTTAGTTTTGATTTTTTTACCAAGAGCTAAAGCTACATTTTTGATTCAATTTTGCCTGACGATGGCAGTTTCCGTCGTGCATGACAGAATTTATGCTAAAACCTGCGGTATAACGAGATGAAACCTTTCCCCGCGCTTACGTAAACTTCATTTTGAAACAATGTATCGTATTATTCTTAAGTTGCATTAAAATCGTGTAATAACGAAGCCAATCTCCGACTAATCGCGCTTCGAGTTAGCGTTAATTAAAGAAAATACGCTATTTTAATCTTTGGGTAGACGGTTAACGAGAGGGATCGTATTTGCGCTAACCTTATTAAACAACGTTGTTACTCGGAATTATGAATCGTTGCAGCCCGGAATAATTGCAACTGGTTGAAAAATAAATTGTAATTATTTAAAAATTTGATTTTTCGCACAACAGCTCGATGGTTCCATTTTGCTCGCACAATTTGAACAGTATTAGCAGTTTCAGCTAATAGAGATGTTTATAATGCAGGAAGGAAATTGATGGATGCATAATTGAAGGATATATAATCGCACGATACAATTTCGTTTGTAAATATTTATTTGTTCTTCAAATAAGCAATCGAATAGTTAAATAACTATGTGAAAGCAAACTCCGATTCCGCGATTCTCCATGCGCACTGACCCGCCAATTCCTGAATTAATTTCGAGAAACAGCGATCTTACAAATTTCCAACTGTTCGGTTCCTTAAATAATCGTGGACAGAGTTATCGAGCGATCATGCGCGATTCTCTGATTGAATCGAGATTTTAATAATTGTATAGAAAACGTTAGAGGTATTAATGTTTAAAGACGATAACGATAACAAGGAATCCGGTATACGTATCGATTCTGTCATGTAATCAGAAATGTTTGAGTGCGTAGAGCATTGAAAAGTTTAGCGCTCCACGAAACCGGAAACTGCAATTTAATACTGGCGGTAGGAATTCTCCCGTCCAATTATACTACAACTGCAAATGGAGCATCGACTCCTCGATATCACGGTGGTTTATTTTTATTACAGCCGGCTGAAGATACTCTTAAATTGGATTTGTCCAGCCAGCCAGCCAGCCAGTCAGCCAGCCAGCCAGTCAGCTAGCGAAACAGGCATGGACACTCGACATTTTTATCACGAATACGGGAATCGTTGCATTAGATTAACGAACGATTCTATTTTTATAATGCAATTTCCATCCGAGAAGCGTTGCTTTACCCGAATAATCTCAACCTTAAACGCGATACGATCGTTCGAATAATAGCGAGTAGAGATTTCCATTTATAACGATCGCGTAAGAAAACGGTTACGCCTCGAGAAAATGAAAGATAACAAACGATACAATCAGTCATACGAGAGTTTAAAAATGGAGCGATTTCTTTTTTCAACGACACGCACCTAGTTAACGTAAGACATTGTATAATCGGTTGTTGCGTTGGATACTTTTAGTTCTGTGCGTTTTTTCCACCTAAAAACTTTTCGTAATTGTTTCGTAAATCACGACTAACGATCGTACAATCGTTTCGACTGTAATCTTAGATCGTAATCTAATGTTAGAAACTGCGTTAGATATAGCTGCTGACGATCTAAAAAGGAGGCACAGCATCGTTTTCGATAACCTGTGACCGATGGAAGAATATACGGGTTGTAAACTTGTTGGCAAAGCCACGAATAAACGAGCTGAGAGCAAACGACGATTGATCCTTCGTGCTGTAAATTCGATATTCCGGCATTGAATCGCCGCAACTTTTGAATTTACGATGGCCGTTCACGACGGTGTTCCCATGATGCATCGACCGCTATACATAACCAAATTAGCCAATCAAGGAAACAATAGTGCAAGTTACGTGGAGGACCACGTCAAGGACGTGATTGGTCGATTTGACCGTAACGTATGCGTATGCAAATTGGGGAAAAGCCTCTTGCGCAAATCCTCTTATCCCCGAGGAATTATAGTCGGTATTCACAATTTCCTATGGAGGTTAGAACGCTTATTAGACACGTTACGGAATCTAGTTGTTAACCGGAACATTCATCTTGCATTATGCGAATGAACGATCGTTGTAGAAAATGTATTACTTTCGCGCATTATCCTTATACAAAACTCGTCGTTGTTGATGTTTCGCAAACTTATTAAGTTTATCGCGTCTAACGATTGTACAAGAGTTTAGAAAACAGGAAAAATTTCCTGGTCGGAGAGAGTATAAAGATTTTAATCGAGAAATATCTCGAACGGATAATGTGATTTTTTCTTTTTTTTTTTTTTTTTGAAAAATAAAAAATGAAATATATCGATCGTATTGAAATATACGAGAAAGGATTGAAAAATATGAGAATCCGAAAGAACGATGTTCGTAGCATAGTAATGGAAGAATCGAGGGATCGTTAAGAATATCGAGCTTACCTGCGGATTCTTCGCCATATAATCCAGATGTTCCTGCGTGGTGTACCAACCCATGAAGATCGGTATGAAGCTGATCAAAGCCGGCAAAATCCATGCACTACCCAGCATACATCCCACCGTCCCTTGTCTCATGATCACTGTATACTCGAGCGGGCTGACAATAGCGTAATATCTATCCACGCTGATGCAGCACAGGTGAAGTATCGAGGCCGTGGAGAAGTAAACGTCCAACGAGTTCCACACGTCGCACATGAACCGACCGAACAACCATTTGCCTCCGGACAATTCAGCCGAGGCGTTAAACGTCATCGCGCACATGGCCACCAAGAGGTCAGCCGCTGCCAAGCTCACCACGTAACAGTTCGTTACCACGCGCAATCTTCTGTGCCTTCTCACGCTGGCGATCACCAAAGCGTTACCTAGCACTGCCGTCGTGATGATGCTGCCCATAATGATACCCTTGATCACAACTACGAACACGTTCACGTTCTCGGGTAGATTTTCAACCGTTGGATTCTCAACAGGAACTGACGTCACGTTATTCGGCGCGGTGCCCGATGCAGCGCTGGTGTTGCTGGAAGATGTCGGTGTCGGATCTACTCGGCTAGGTAGACTCGTCGTCACCGCTGCCATTACGTTCAACATGGTGGACCACGCGTCTGACGATCCCCGGCTACTTCACTCGGTCATGGCCGTGGAGAATGCCGCCTGCACACACGCGGATCATGCTAGCCTCTTATCCGAATTTAGCCTTACGATACCTTATCGCAATATAGCCTATAATCTGTCAACTTAGGACAGAGATACCGTGTATTCCGTCGAGCTGTTCGGCTGCTTTAGCTTCTGCTTCTGCTTCTGTTTCTGTTTCCGCTTTTGCTTCCGCTTTTGCTACCGTCGATTAAACTGGTCCTGCCTTTCTCTACTTCGATCTGAGGCCGATGGATACATAGACAATATGGAAGAGAGTGTTCGTATCGATTCTGCGCTTTCGGCGAATCGATCAACGGTACGTGAATTTTCTCGGCTTTCTTTCGCTTCTCTTGGTTAAGCGTACAACGCTCGTTTTATCATGGAGCGTTTAAGAGCGTCGATATCGATTTCGTTATTCGGGATATTCCTCGATGGATAGTAGACGCACCTTCTGGGCCCTCGAGTGAGATCTTCTTTGGGCAGCAGGTGTTTTTATACGATTACCAGTACGACAGAGAATCCTGCTCAATGGCTGTGTACTCGTGCCGATCGACCACGATCGTTGAATCCAGTCCATCGTTGACCAAAGTGTTCTCCAGCGTTCTTCGTTGCAAGAGTTTCGTTCGAACGTCTCCGTTTCCTTAGCGAAGCGTCATTTTCTCGTCGAGTTCGATTTCGTCGACGTTTAATTTCACGACGATCACATGCGGTCCATTGTACAACGTTAGAATTCGCGTTACACAGGTCGTGAGAACTTGTCGAGTTAAACGATGGCTGGAACAAGGTTTTATCCTGATTCGCAGCCTAGTTCCTGCAATTCAGAGATATACGATCGATAAATTACAGTCGAACAGTTATGATTTCGACTAGTTTGCTAATTGTTTCGTCTATGTCTAGCGAAGTCTAGAACGATGAAAAGTTTTGGATAAAATTCGGAATAAATTATACGAGGTTTCAGGCTACAAGCAACGCCATATTCGAAACATTTCTTAATTGCCATATATAATATATTACCAAATATTCGATGGACATGAAGAAAATTATTTAATAAGTAAGATATCTTACAAAGTTATTCAAATTATTCTTATTTCTCTGCACAGATTGCCCATGTAAAATTATCTAAATTAAATGTCCTAATATCCTTAACAACTCCTTCTTTCGCTCGAGATCTTCTCGATTTGGTTCTCTTAATTTCTTAGTGGAACATACTTTCGCTACAAATACTACTATTAAAAACTCATACGTGGGCTCGTACGTGAGCTGGTTCGACAGTTCTAATCGCAAACATCTCCTCCGCTACTAAATTTCATATTCTCGTATCAACGTTTCAGACAAAATAAAATTTCCACTCACGAAGGTTCCACTGTTCTTACGGGCATAGCGATTTTAGGATTTTGCGATAAAGATTTTCTTTCGATCGTTGTTGGCTGTTTCGAAATCAAAATCTAGAAACAAATACTTGTTGCGTTAATCGACATTTATTCGAATTAACAATAGAGGAATATACGTTTGCGGTGAATTTGTAGAAAAGCTACTGTCTTCCACATCATATATTGTATATAAATATCTCAGCTTTTTTTCTATTTTATTAATAACGTTAATTGATTTTATAAACTGGACGAAGCGAGTGATATTTCGATGTTTTCAATGTTTGATAAATTAATTTGACGAAGTAATGCCTGGAAAACGGAATTTCACAGAATTCTGTCTAGATCGAAGGAAAGCGGGAAATATTTTTCAATTTGATCGAAATTGTCCAACAGCAAAAGAATCGCATCTTATTTGATGACTTTTCTAAATAAAAAGAACCTACTTATTTTCTCGTTCTATCGAACGAAGAAAACTGACGCAAAATTCGAAACGAGTAGCAATATCGATCGGTTACTTTGACTCTATGAAACTATAGCGTGAAAATTTGTTCCGTGGACTTGTACATTTTTATAAAAAAGAATGACGCTTTTAACGTAAATCCGACATGAAAAGTCATAATAGAAACGATTCACGTTCAATTTCTATAAATCAGTTTATTCAACGTATGTTTTTACGTTTCTTTTTTCTATGGAAAATATCATAGAAGTAAATAAGTTCGAAAAATCTAATTTCAAAACACGATAATTCGACGAAACCTTTAATTCGATAGAACAAAGCAAATGCGTGTAAACGTGAAAATATGTTACCACGTGTATCGTGTATTTATCTGATTTTGATCCGAACCCTTAGACCGTATCCAGTTTGCAGAAGAATCGCGATATTCCCGGATGGATAAACGTTGACCCACTGCCAGGCAAAATCTTCGTCGTTCTAACGTTTAATTTCCTAACGCCGTGGCAACGTATGGTAAGATGAATCGTCCTATTTACGTCGGAACAAAGACGTATCGGCCCCTTTAGGTGTGAGAAAGCAATCCAAGGTATGAATGCCGAGTTGCACGGTGCAACAGCTGCCAATTCCATGTAAACGACAAGTTCACCGTTCCTGGACTCTCGGTTACTGATTGCATCGATGAGAAATCGCCCTATCTCGAGGATTTAGCTGCGAAACGGAGACGCTATAGCCGAGGAAAAGTCGGTTTGATATCTGGTCGAGCCGTAGCTTCTAGTTAAAAAGCGATTGCGCCAAGATGGAGCTATTTGCGAAGAAGATTACGAGAGGGCCGTCGGAATTACGTGACGCCCGGCATGGCGATGAAATACTTTTCCTCGTCGCTGTGGGACGAGGAGGCGCTTCGTTCCGCGTGTCAGCGAATATAACGAAGGAGGGAGGCGAATTCCGGGCCGCTGTCCTTTAATTACAAACGACATGGCCATGGACCATCCATCCCATCCATAGGCTCGTGTTAAGCTGGGAACCGGGTTAACGTCCTCCAAACAACAGTTAACGGCGAGGAATTACGTTGTACGAAAAGTTTTCGACGTCGAGAGGAATTCTTTCGTCGTGCGACGATTGCACACTTTGGATAGGTACCAAGTTTAGTTGAACACGGCTCGTTCGCGCAAAAATCTAAATATCAATTTCAATTACTTAGCGAGTAGTCGCTGTACTATAAGGATATATAAGAAGTAAAACTCGAGTATAGAATATCGCTACTAGTTCGATCAAAGTTCATCGATAACCATCCACGCAAATTACTGCCGCAAATGCATTTAAATATTCGATTATCTTGTTACGCGTTAATAATCACACGACGTTAATAATCATACGTAGAATACGAACAGATCGATAGCTGCATATGTTGATACACGTGGATCCGTGTATCGAAAACTACATAGATCGAGACACCGATGTGTACACGAACTGTACATCGACGCGTATCTACGCGCGATACAGCGCGTGGAACAGCGCTCTATCTCTATTAGAAGATATAAATCCCTTTCAATTGCGAAACTGATATCAACGAGTATCAAGAATTGCGTGAAGTTTGGCTTATATCGGAAACCATGGCTGTAAACGATTCCAACGGTCTTCGACAACGTTCAAAAGCCCGTTCGTGGACTCAAACTCGGTCAAACTTTTAATCGATGCGGTTATAAATCGTGAAAAATGCAATCTCGCGACCGTAGGATCAGACCGTTGTCCGGCGGGCCAAGAGGGGTCGAAGCGAACAGAGATGGAGCGTGGAAACTGAACGAAACGCGTCACTCACACGACACGTGGACACGAGGACACGAGGGCACGAGAAAAGAAACGAGACGAAATGTGTGCCGATCGATAAAAGTTATTCGCGATATAGAAGGGTTAGATCGTGGAACAATTTCACCGATGGCCACGTTCCACGATGGCCAATGCCGAAGCCCTCGTCTAGATTCGCGACCTTTACGCGTTTTACCTCCTGCTAACCTACGTTCCACTCGGACCGATTCCCCCCCGCTAGACGTGGTTGCGCCTGATCCTCGAAGCATCGACCGGCATATAGCGGATCAGAGTTCTTCTCGTCAGAGAGCTTGTGATCGTCGGTTTAATCGTTTCGAGGTTCGATTCGTTATTTTTCCCAACGACCACGCGAATAAATCAACGTTTGCCTTTACACGAGCGAATACTTTGAAGAAAAATTAAATTCCCGATCTGAACGATATGAACGGTATTTCGAAATCTAGAAATCTAGAATTAGAGTATCTAGAAATAATTTTTACCCTAATTTGTATAGAGAAATTATAGGTTATCCGATAGAGAAATTGCCATAACCGTCTTCTAATAATATATATATTGAATTATTTTTCTTCGCAGAATTTGCACATCTTGTTTTAATGGATAATAATTCGATTACTTTATACCTGTCCCTATACTATTCCTGCAAGTATAGAGAGAAATCGCGGCACGTTATTCAAAAATAGTCAATGTAATCCAATTTGTTGGTTGCGAGGCGTTCGAAACTTGTTTACAAAGTTTTCTAATTAAAAAAATCTAGAGTTTCTTTCATCATCCACTATCACCTGCTGCTCGATTGACTCGTAAAGCTGGATGATGGTACACGGTACACGGTATGGCACGGTACGTAGAATGTGATGAATTGATTTTCAGATAAAGCGCGATTGCTTCTGATAGATGGGATATGGAGATGAGTAAAATTAATGGGTTAAATGGATATGTAGATACAGGCCAAGTTTCGGGCTAGAGAATGTAACGTACAATTAGAATTACTAGATCATTCTCGTACGATGTTGGAGAAATTTCGAGAGACTACCGTTGATGCGATACGCATCCGTGGCGCTTTCGTCGCATAATATAATTAATTCTTAAATTCCTCGAGTTTTACTAGCTAGTGTAATTAGCCAAATTAGATACAGTTAGCCAAGTTAAATATAGTAATTACAGTAGTAATTACAATAAACTGGAAAGTACGATAAGATATTGCAATTTTCTTAGTAAAATATTTTCAGCGAAAAGAAGAACGTCTAAATTAACTGAAACCGAACTGATGACGAAACAACGGGAAAAATGAGAGAAAATCGTGAAATTAAAAAGTACAGGTGATCTGGTTTTCTTGGAAAGACAGGGAAAATGAAAAAATGGAGTAAACTGCGGAAACAGAACATAATCGTCGTATGCTTCTTCCGGATTCAGCGGGCATACGTATATATATAGCAAACGGCACAATTTACTCCAAATCCATTTTTTTTCTTTCTTGCGGGAAAAATAGGGTGGCTGCTGGTTAGACGAAATGAACAGGATGTTAATTAACGTCGACCTAGCGAAAATTCAATTTCAATTTTAAAGCATTCGAGCCCAAGGCTCGAATTTACTTCTGCGAGTGAAAACGACGCGGGGCGAAACAGCATTTCACTCCGTTCCGTTTTAATCCAAGATAGACGTTCCAGTTCTTTTCCATTTTCCTTTTCGTACGATTACAACCGTACAACTTTGAATCTTGCGAAAAAAGCAAAGTAGAACGTTTCTACGTACAACGTGTACACTGGCTTTTCCATCGGATGACGTGTTCCACCGTATAGACGTAAGCAAGAAAAGTCTGTTATACGTGTAAGGTGTTCTGGCAACTGATGCCGCAATGGAGAGAAGAGTTATTTACGTTACAGTTACGTTACATTCGCATATAATTCCAACATACATTAGTTTGTTGAATAATTTGTTATGCGATAGATAGTAGACGTAGATATTCGACCGATGCGGCAACTGATTTTAATCTGTTGCGTACGTTACGTAGTCCTATGCACGTTACGTATGCCGGATCGTAAAAGAGAATGATGAAATAATATTAAATTTCGCAAATCGCGCATATTCGTTATACGATCGCAGAAAGAATGCCACAAATCTTCCAGTACTATTTCGGACGAAAGGTACGCCAAATAAAAGTGTATATAAATGAACGAAACGAATAATAAAGTATAGAGACGGATTGGATTGTTACTTCGATGGATCGATCTAGTCGAACATCTATGATCTTACTTTCAAATGTTAAAACACGTAAATGCGGGATATTCGAAGGTTGCGGACGCTCGTTAGGAAATTTGAAAGCAGAAGGAGAATTCGTAATACGAATGTTTTGTAAATACAGAAACGAATATTACCATCTCTGCTAAATAGCAATCGAGTTTCCGTGAAACGTAACCTCTGTATTGGAATTGACTCGATCGAGATTGAAATTCATCTCATCCCTATTCATCGCGCATATTAATTGCAGTACTTTGATAAATGTCTAGCGATTTAAAATTGGACCATCATGGAGATTAAAGCGTTATTTTCTCTTCGTTGCAATTTTTTTCAAACCTCGTATCGCTACAACTACCAAAGTGATCGACACGATCGATGCTTAATCCTTCGTAAAAATGTTGTACATATGAAAATGTGCGTTGTAAAGAAATACTTTAGTCGTTTAGTTATTTTAGAGCTATTAGAACAAAGTTTCGAACAAATGTTTGTATATACCGCGTAGGTGCTGTAAGCGTGACGCTGGCGTTCATTCACAGACACATTTGCTCCTACGAATAAAGTAAAATAAAATCTTCGAACAACGGGTTTGTCAAATTTGTCATTGTGTGTCGGATACCGGTAATATCGGCGGATCCCTTAGAAGTATTTGGCAGTATTAGCAAGTCCTATAATGTTAGTAGAATAGCGTGCAATTATACCCAGCATTTTTATGCAAGTTACGCTTTAAAAAGGTTTCGGTACTCTGCAGAAGACTTACGATACATTTATGTCTTATTTGTCTGTACTTATCGTTATTTGTACTTCTTCCACCTTTGTAAAAGGATTAGTTAGCTGTGTAAGATAATTAACATAATCAGCCATAGAGTAATTTGTGGAAATTTAGTTGTCGAAGAAACGCAGGTTCCTTTCGCTATCCTTTCGCTATCCTTTCGCTATCCTTTCGCTATAGTAGTAAAAAGAACGTTAATTTGGAAACGAGCCTGTATTTTTACTCTTATCTACAAAGTCTCGGAGACTTATTAAAAAGCTAGAAGTAACACGTGCATTTCTTCCAAGCAACTAAAGACATCTTCGTCTCGTTCGTAGCGCATAAATACATAGGAGGAAAAATCGAGGATCAATGACACTTAACCTGGAAACCTATACACCCGCCACAAACTATTGACAGCCATTAGCAACGAAAGGTCTTCTTAAAACGGCGAGCACAGTCGTTTTGTGCATAGATTGCTGTTCAAACGAGGCACATTCTCGACAGAATCTCGCCGGAAGAAAGAAAAAACATCGAACAGCTAATCCCTTTCTAAACTAACTGAACTAATTAACTAAAAAATAAATATATTTGCTTTTGGCAAAATAGTAATTTGACGATTTATCGTTTATTAAATTTGGAAATTTAATCCAAGTACAGGCCCGTGTACTTTGATTAAATCCGTGCACTAATTTCATACGAAAACGTATCGTTACATATCGTATCGTGTAAATTTTTCATTTTACTCTATTTGTCGATTAGACGGACAAATAATTGCAAATATCACGTTTCAGTTATACGTATAAATAACGCAAGTTTCTCTTGAATTCAAGCGCTTTATACGATACGTTATTCGTTCATTTCATTCTTTAATATCGCTGATAATTTCTACTTTAATATTCGGCAATGAAGAATTAATCAAAGTATCGTATATCTATCATAGGTGTTTGCTCGATGCTGAAAAGCATTGTTACGTTCCACCAATTTTATTTTATATCTTATGCGCTAATTAGAAAGGCGAGTGTGACTGAAAATAACATGTTTCACCGAAATAAACACACATAAATATGGTAAATTTTTCTTAAATTGACAAGTTTCGTACGATATTTTATGTTATCTTGGGTTATCGATCATTAACGCCCTAACATTTATCAATGGAAAATTATATTAATGGAATCTTATCTGTATATTCCTTAATTATATTAAATTAATATTAATTAAACTAATTGTATACTAATTATATACTATGAAATGTTGTATACATTTGATCTGTAACGTTATCTGTCAAGCGCGAAGAAAAGAAAAACAAATATTGTATCTTCATATTGTATCTTCTCATACATGGATCTCGTACACTCGGATACATGGAAATGTAAGCAAATTTTTCTTCTATTAAAATAACTTATCCGAAATATTTTTGCATGTTTTGTTTATCGTTAATTTCGCGTTTCTTTATTAGCCTTTTGTTTTTGCCTATTTCATACGTTTTAATTCTTTTCGTCCGCTTTATTTAGTATTTTTCAAAAAATTGGGAAAGCATCGACGCGGCATTGACACGAGACTAAAGTGGCATTCAGAAACGGATAAAGGGAATGGTACAAAGCCGATTGAAATTTCCAACTAGCGGTTAAAGTATAAAGTTAACAGCCGCGCCGTTAATAAACAAGGTTTATTCGCGTTTCAAAGCACTGCGAAAACTAACTTAACACTAGAAAATTTGTTGCTCCGTTTGCGTTATCGAACGAAAGTGCAGCAAGTATTTATTTCGTGCTTTATACGCAAAGATAATACACGATAGGCGACAAAATAAAATAACCGGACAACCTGTAAAATCATCGCCGCGTGTTTCACATGTTTTTCGAAATGACAATCCCCGAGTGGAGAATCGTGGTGTTTTACACGTGCAAAAAATAAGAAATTTCCCCTTTGAACGTAAAACTTTGAATGTAGAATTTTCGAACAGCGTTTGCGTTTCTCCGTTTGTGTACTTGGAAGGTCGAGCATCTAAAAATTATAATCCTTTCATATTTTATCCGACTGCGACACCAAGGCATTCAGAAAGGAAAGATATATCGTGTTTTACGAGTATCGGTGGCAGAGCAACTGAACCAACTTTGTCCCGCTTATACCGGCCAACAGAAATCTATAAAACAAGCGTCCCATAATTCATCGGCTGCGAAATATATATTACGAAGAAGAAGCACGTTAGAATTATATTATATTATATTATATTATATTATATTATTAGATGTTGCGTGTATTAATTAAAATTGCCGAAATTCAAAGGTATACGATAATAGACTCGCGGTTACTATGCTTGCAAGGTATCGATAGCTTTACAATTACATTCTGCATAATCGTTAATAGCATGTTTGAAAATGTTCACCGTTTCTATCGATAGAAAGGCGACAGCGATACGAGATTGAACTTATCGTCCTATGATTTTATTCCTAAAATTTGTTAATTAAGTTTGTTAATATAATAAAACGAAGGTTTTCATTTTATTATATCTGGATGATCCGATCAAATCCTCGCGTTATTTAACCACACGTGTTAATACTCTTTTATAACGTTATCCACCGATAAAAGTTCTACGGCTTAAATAAAATAGAAATAATATTGCAGGTCAAAGTACATATGGTCCTTTTTGTACCCATTTCCTATTTCCTATTTTAATTATAATCGTTTGATACAATTTCAGACAAACGATGATTATATAACATTTTTACTTGATCATGCCTGTAAAATACGCTGACGGAGAATCTGGCTGTCAAACGGCAAGACATACCGTATAAATTGGAATAATTCGAGAAATTAATTAATGTGTTTTATTTTTCCAACTTTATATATTCTCGACTTGAAAATTTTATAAGAGACATCGCGTTTGTTGAAGAAGACGAAAGAAAAAGTAGCCAGGAGATTGGTTCGGTCCTTATCTACCAAGGGATACGGCACCAACCTGAAGTAGCCTCGAAGGATTAAGACACGATAAACCCTTAAGTACACGACCGGCAAATCCTTCGATGCTGGTATTACACGCCAGAGTACAAACGTCCGCGTTTATCCATTTATTATCAATAAATCTCGGAAAGATGGTAAATTAAACTGATTATCAATTGGAATTTGTCGACAATTTCGAAAGATTCGAAAATTTTGTAATTTAACGAGATTATAAAGAGATTATTTAATTTATCTGTGCAAGAATGTTCGTGTTAGGACTCGGAGCCGTTATTTTCTCCATCAATTTTTAAATCGGTGTATTCACCTGCGTAGAAAAATATTCACGTTAGAACGAGCAATCCACTAACTTCTGCAGCCTGTGAAAAAGAAAAAAAAGGGGAAAAAGTAAGAGGAAGGAGAAGAATAATTTATGGAGCAACTTGCGAAATCCATCCCCTTCGCGAGGAACACGTTAGTTACGTTTGGAAGAAAATATTTCCGTTACGACAGCGACCCAAATAAAAATGATCGTTCCGACACTTTGCCAAATAATCGTTGAAACGATCCCTGATAAACAATCCCTGTATAATAAATACATTATCGATCCCGGCGAGAAAATATTTACGCTAACGCATTGTACCAACAGTTTGTTTGTGTCTTTATCTCGCGAAGAACCCGCTAGTCGATAACGAATAAAAATCACGAGCCCAAAGCCTCTTGCGAACATCGCTTAAGACTCGAAGCAACCTGGAAAACTCACCCTCTCGACGATATACACCGGCGTTACCTCTGCAGAGGAACGTCCACGTCAAAGTCGTCAGCTTTTCAACGCCACAGAAACGATACCGAGATCCAAACACCGATAAGAACACCCTTCGAAAGCCACCTTCCCGAGATGAACATCCCCAAACACTTTTACCGCGTTTCAACCGGAAACTGACCTTCCCGCCGACGTTTGTCGTTCGCTTCGACATCGGCCAACCGCACGGTCATCCTCTTCGACCGGAACGACGAAGAACGAATACTCGAGCAGAAAAGCGGCCATTTGGACTTTGTTAGTTCTGTTTGGCCGCGAACCACCGTGTATCTACGAACGATATATAAACATAAACGTGGAACCTTTCCACTTGGGATTTGAAACTCACGCGTAAACACGAGGTCATCGGGTGTGTGAACGGGTCGCGTTAAAGTTGAACCGTTGCGGCACTAAGAGTAGGGGCGACGGTACTTTTTCATTCATCGTTTCGAGCACACTGTGTAGAAACGCGATCACGGATAGTACCACGAGGCCAACCGCTTGTTTCAACGGGTCAGGGCGCACTGTCCGCTTCGGGAAGACACCGATCGCTTCGAGCAGTGGCCGTGGAAGGCGCCACCGACGTCGAAAACAACCCACCCACCCCC